AATACTATACAAATTGATATATTCATCGAATTCTCAACTTGTGATGGCCTGAAAATTACCAATTATACACTAAATTAATATGAAATTAGTTTTAATAAGTACAAACTTTAACATTAATGTGACAGGAGTCTATATGCCAAGCTCGGCCATACTAATATATGCAGACAATGCAAAGCTGCATTTGACGGGTACTTTTCACTCGAAGTAGAAATTAACGTTTTAATCCAATGCAAATCTGATTGCAATGTTCAGCCATGTTAGTGCATGTGACATTGTATCCATACGGGTTGCGATATTAGAATGTTGATGGTTATTGTTCATGTAACATATTTAATACTGCGTTTATTATAAGTGTCTGTCTTTATTATCTGTTTTATTCTTCTTACTAAATCAGAATTGATCACTTAGTAATTTCGAGGATAACATGTAAATTAAATGTCGAAATATTTCTTAGGTGCAAATCTTTTCTCTAATGACAATTTAAAATAAATTGTGTAGTTGTATGAAATTAAACTAAAATAATAAATTATAAATAAAATAAGTTAGGTTGTGTGAAGTAATGCTGTCAATTATCATTGTGTAGGCGCTTTTTTTTAGGTGTTTATTTTCATGAATTTTCAATTTTCTGGTCACAGGGTCGGTATGGTTTTCTACGCAAGTTTGTATTTTAGGCTGAATATATTTCAAACTATTAAATTTGATTAGTTTCCATTTATTTCATACAAAATGTTGAAAATGTGATCATTTATATTAAAATCAGATAGTTTGCGATTCAGTTCCGGGAATTGTACAACTCGCTTCGGGTGCAAAATTGCTCAGAAACCGGTATGATACCCAGTGACAGCAACAATAGTAAAAGTGAAATTTATATGTGTCGCTTCACAATATTCCTTGATGCGTAACATGTCATTAGTCGGGCGAAATCAAAATATATTTTAAACACGAATTAGTATAACTGTATTAGTATTAGAATAATCTCATAGAGTAATTAAACTTACATTATTATCAAACGTGTAATGTGTCCTTAATTGAGTGTAATTTCGTCCCTAATTTTGAAAGTCAATCAATATAAATATAAATTTATATTAATGGTAGTAATCATTTAGTAAACACCTGTTGTTTTCAATAATGAATTCAAACATATTTTTAGATTTCAGATACGTTTAATAATAAAAGAATAATGTTTCATTAATGTAATAATGTTTCGAATTGCTTGAAATCATTAACTTTCTCAGTTTTCGCAATCACCATAAATTTCTTTACAATACGCTTCAGAAAAAGACAACTCCTAATATCTAGCAGGATTGTATTTTACAATGTTGTACCAGGAAATGTTTAAAGAAAAATCTACTTAGCCTGGGTGGGTCGACAACCCACGCAATGCAATGCAAATAGAGAAATGTGCGCTCATAAAGCTCTCTATAAATAAGGTTTCAGGTTTGTGTATTATTACATATATTTAAGATTTAACGGTAAGTTTAACGATGAACTCGATTATTTAAATAAATTACTTTCAAATTATTAATTTTGTTTTTCATCTCTCTAAATTTTATTAGAATTTTTTTTCAAGATTCTACATTTTTTCGAAGAGAATCGAAACATTTGCAGTCACGTGAAACGTTCGAAGCTGGACTAGTTTGAAAATTATGAATTTCCTGGAATTTATATCATTGGTTATGAAAAGAGTTTTGAATTGGGCGCATTATTTTTGGTAATTCATCTGCATTCTAGAAAGTTTTAATTTTCTTAAAAATATATATTTGAATTTGTCGAAATTAGTGTACCACACATTAAATTGGCCAGTTCCAGTATTGGCCAGCATCTCGTGTTTATTATATATCAGAACATCAAAATTTGTTTAATTGATTCGGGGCCAATTTTCCATTAAAATAGGTCCTTTCAAATTGGTAACACAAACTAACAAAATGCTATGTATTTGCGATGTCATAATAACACATAGGTGAAGTTAGTTTATATAGCATTTTGACAGTTTTCACTTTTTTTTTAATTCATATGAAGAAAGGAGAATTGGCCCCTTATATCCAATGTTAAGATAGATATATTATTTATAATATTATCACTGTATTATTAAATTTTATGTAACTTAAAAATTGTCCATTAATCACGTGAGTTTTTAGAAATTTTTGGATCCCCCCTCCCCTTTGGTGATACATGGTGATATTCAAAATTACCCCCCCTCCCTCACCAAACATCACGTGTGTTTTTAGTTACGAGAAAAATTTGTATAATTTTTAATTTTTTTAAATGTTTGAACTTTTTTTTAAAAAAATAGTTAAAAAATAAATACACGTGATATCTTACTATACCCTCCCACCCCTACGTGATATTTTGTGATTTTTGTCAAACCCCTCTCCCTCTGAAAACTTCAAGTGATTAATGGTCGCCCCCTTTGGATTTGTGTGTGTTTTGTGAACCTTTTACTGCTTACGTTCTACGAGATAAGTTCAAATATACGTGAGTAAGTGCGGAATTGTACGGAAGAAATAGCAGTAAACACTTGACGTTCATAGGTATAGTAAGTGTACCTTAAACAAAGTAAATACATGATGTTCTTTATTTCTGATATTCCGATTACTTGATTGATGTACGATGAGTCACAGGTAGAATCATTTTTATGGGTTTTTAGAACGAAAGCAGATGTTGCATTTCGTACGTAAACAACAAATCATTATATAGTCTGTGCACAGTAAGTTTAGTCATGCTCTTGCTACGAAACGGTGTTTGGGTAAAATACAAATAACGGGGTTTCACTCGCGCTTTACCTGTTTGTTTGGCTTTGTCTACGTCTACATGTGTTTCATTTTGTAAATATAAAAAGTGAAATATATGAACATTAGGCATCATTTATAGTCATTTGAACGATAGGTCGCGAGCAATGTCGATTGTTACTTGTAGAGTTTTCAAATGTTATGGCTATTTCTTAAGAAGCGTACAAAATCTCCGATTTATTTTTACTTTAATGAAAAGCTATAATACACTGATATTCGTTAAATTTATCATTTTAAATCTATATGGGTCTTAGGTTTAACCCTCCGTCGGGCGCAGCCGATCTGGCAGATACAGGGATAACATTTTAGTTTGTTTTTTCATGATGTGATGAAGTCATAGAGATCATTTTTACATATTTTGTTTTTATTTACACATAAAAAAAATATTCAGCATTGTAAAAACTCTAATTAAATAGAAGTATATAAAACTATGAGCCTCCTGTGAATAATCTTAAAATCTGTATATGTTAGATACACTGCGCCCGATTCTGTACATATTCGGACTGCGCCCGACGGAGGGTTAAATTATATTACCTTAATCAAAGATTAATATAATATAATTTAGCAATATTTTATCATCAATGAAATTTTTTCTATATTTATTCAAATCGATTATTCTGACCTATCACAGCTCAAATAAATTTATCACAAATAAAAACTTAAACTAAAGTTGATATATATTTATATTAATATTATCAGATCTTTGTCTTTACTTACACTTTGCTTTTTGATCGAGTTCTCATTAAGTACCAAAAATCTTCATCTTAAAATGCTTTGGTTTGCCTTTGTTCACCTTTTCTTCCTAAAACGCAATCAATGATTTATGGTAAACCACATTTTATTTATAACGCTATTCAATGCAGATTGCGTCAAATAATACCATAAATAATTAATTTTTCGCACTTTATACCTACTGAAATTGTAACAATTTTCCGTTTGAAATTCAATAGCTCAAAATTTGTTTATATTTATACCTAGCATATTTTTTAAATATCTAATTAAACATACGCTTAATTTGGGTAATCACTTTGGGTTAATTTGGATATTTAATCATTTCAAGCGCTCGCTTTACATAATTAGTTAGTTAGTTAGTTAGCTGTGGCTGCCAAAGCTACATTTATGTTTGTATACCATATCATATTCTTTTCAGCTGTGATTAAATACAAAACATGTGGGTTATTTGTGACCACTCATATAAATTTAAATGATTTTCAGTCAATTTAATTTTGATAACTGTTTACAGTCTATTAATAGAATCACACCAAAATATTGTACATTGTAAACAGACCGAGATCCAATACATTCGTTTAATAAGAACTTTTCTTTTCCGTCCATGGCAAAGGTGCACGAACGAATGTTTTTCTAGAAACACATTAAATAGAGATCAGTTGAAATTGGACTTAAAGATAATTTTGATACTGAATCATAAAAAAGTATTATCTTGTTTCAATAAATCGATTTAAAATCATTAATTTTTTATTTTAATGATTAAAAGTATTACTCATTACAAATGTAAGTGCCTTATTGTCTTCAAAAATGTGTAAAATGTACATTCCACCAATTTATCTAATTTGATATATGTTTTGGTATTTGGCAAGTTTCGGATAAATATTGCCGTCATAGAATTGGTTAGGTATATAGAAAATGTTTTTAAATTTAATTGAAATTTTACATAAATTCTATAACATTGTTTCTAGTAAAATTATTTCATCAATTTTAAAACGAATTGGCATATAAAGACACATAAACAATTTACTAATAATTTCACTAACTCGCACTCTCATTATTGCTCTAAATAACTATTTTTTCATTCTAAATAATTATTTTATGCCGCTCTTTTAATACATTGTATCTGTTCCTAAATTAGAATCTTCTTAACAAAATGATGAACTATACAATTTTTTTCATACGATTCTATTTTATTTTATCATTAATATATTACTGCACATATTTTCAACCTATTTTTTCTCTATTATTACTGTCACTATTCAATAACTTATATAATATATAATTGCATTCACAAAAGTTGGCAAAGCAAGATACAATACTCAACTAATACTGTCAACACAAAAAATAATAAATGATAAGTCATATCACAGGAGTGGATGTTATTTCATTACATACAATTATATCCCCTCTCGTTTATTGAACATTATCTATGTATAAGTGTGTGAATATATATAGTAACGCATTCGTTTACAATACTTTCAGTTGATCAACAAACGGTAAGCCACGCCGTGCGCGCGGATTTCAATTAAACCCAAGGTGCAGTGTCCCCAAGAAGTTAAGTCATCGCGAGCGCCAAGAAGTGGTTCGATTTGGGCAGTATCGAAAAGTGATGGAGCTAAACAAGCAGTCAGTTAATTTATGCCGGTCTGTTAATTGACGAACAATTACAGGACAGAGTTTTGGGTCGTTGTTATTGTGTATAGTTGATAGTTTTGCCACTGTGATCTTGTGACTTCGGATATACTGAGATGAGCGCTATCGTTGCGAATCCAGTCCAGACACAAACGGGCGGCACTTCGACGGTTGTGGAACGCAAGCGGAGGAGGTCGCGCGCCGCTGTCACTCTGCTGGCTACGGCAAATGCCATTCTCAGAGTTTTGGGGGTGAATAACAGCAAATCCACGGCTAACGCAGTGTTAAAACTTCACCAGGTTTGCATTTTTTTACATTTTCTCTACTTTTATATTCTATATATGCTATTTTAAAATTACATTATTATTTGACCATTTTATTCACAAATTGATTAGCAATATTTTTATGGCGTCCCTTGACATGTAGCCAAAAGTGACCATAGTAAACAGGATCATCTTTTGTTATATTTTGTCATTAAAAATATTGTTCTGATCATAAAAAGTTTAATGTTCATATTTTCTCATCGGATTAAATATTGATCAAAATCAAATCGTCTTTTTAATTATTTATATAGTAGATATATAGTTCCAACAAACTATATTTTAAATTAAAATGACGTACTGTCTTTAATATATTAACTTATAATTAGAAATACTAAATACTTATCCATTTGGAATATTTTAGATTAGCCACTTACTTGTAAAAGTAATCAAATCTATAGATTTTTATGTTATTTGTTAAATAACGGCAATAAAAGTTCATAGTTAGCCCCTTAACCTACAATGATGAGCATAGTACGTGTAATATTTGATATGCAATTGTTTACAATTTTGGCCCAATATCTTCGAATCTAAATCGTTGGTTAAGGGGTTAATTTATAGAAAACCTATTTAAATAAGCGACAGAAATATTTACGCATTATTCAAATAAAATACAATACATCAAAGATGCTAATTACATTTGAATCTCCTTTTCAACAAATACAAGTTTTTCGGCATAAATATCTATTGCAAACATAAATCATTTTATATATTTATTGATTCGGTTTGCTATATTTGAATAATTTGCTTGGCCAAATGCTTGATTATAATACTACTTTGTATGGCATTGTTTTGTAAATATATAAATTTATTCAATACTGAATTCGGAATTGTTGCTTTCGTAAGTTAAATAGTATAAAGTTTATTTTGCAAGCAATGAATTATACATAAACATTCTAATGATACCCTAGGAATGACAGAGCTGTTGTAAACGATTGAGATTTCTTAGTTGAATTATTGATTGTGAATACGAAATCACTAATGTTATATGTAGATATATATATATATATATATATATATATATATATATATATATTATTTATTCTTGAATGTTATATTTGCAGTCAATCGTCGATATAAAAGAACAATAAATAAAGATCTATTTATTTATACGTTTCGACACAGTATATGTGTCATCATTCAGTAATTTTTTTGATATTCATACAGCATCTACAAGAATTTTTACAATGTTAAAAAAATGATTAAATTTGAAATATATTATAGATTAAAATAAAATAAACAAGTAAAAAATTGATACATACCACACCAGGAAAAGCAATAACAAACATTTAAAATGACATAATTGAAATAAAACATAATAAATAAAGTAAAAAAATGTTTTAAGGTTAAATTAAAGATTTATGTAGTGTATACGTTGCGAACAAAGAACCGACCGCACCCGATGAAGACCTAGGGTTTACGAAAGATAATGCAGGAGTGGGTTTTCAAGGATAGTTAGTAACTATCTTTGAAAACCCACCCTTCCAAACCATGGAAGATGATGCAGGAATGGGTTTTCAAGGATATATATATACATATATATATATATATATATATATATATATATATATACATATATTTATACTAGCATACCCGGCCACGCGTTGCTGCGGCTTTTGTTAAAATTCATCTGATTTGAATCCGTTTAATAACCAACATTTCAATCCTTTTGTTATAAAAAATTATAAAAATCTAAAAATAAATAAAATTCGGATTGAAATTTGAAACCGATGATTCAATACTATTGATTAAAATGTTTTTTAAAACTTGTATTAATGAAAAAAAATTTAAAGTTTTTAATAAAAGAGCACATTACAATACAATATTTCATTTTTATATTCTATACTATTTTTATTTATACATATTCTGTACTTGCTTATTTACAACTAAATTCTTCATTCTTCTTTTTTCCTTCTAAATCTTAAATGCAAATAAAAATAAAAACTAATAATTTCTTTACATCATCAGCACAAGCAAATCTTTTTTGTAATCATTTTAATCGAATGATCCGTTCCCTCAATAACTGCTCTTATTGCACTTTTTGCTCACGATCAGTATCTACGAAACGGCTGAATTTGCCTTACCAAAACCAAATCAGCACATCTCCCCGTCTATACGAATCGAATACTTTTTGACTCATTTTAATCTTAAAGAATATATCTAAACATTCATAATTTTTTTAAGGTTCTATTTCTAATTTTTATTCTAATTTAAATTAAATGATAATTCTCGAGTCCAGCCGAGTGGGTATCCCTGGCGTGTGAGTCGGTTATGCTACTGACTGACCTATTCCCGCTACGATAAGATATTTCTTTCAAATAAAAATCATTATTTTTAGTCTTATACTTCGTAAATAATATTATGCATAAGTTTAATATTTTGAATGATATAAAATTTCATATATTTTTCGTGTTGATTTTCCGTTCCATGTTTACAGTTTTGGAATTTGCAAATTCTCTATTTTTTGTGAAGCAGTAGAGATTTTTAAGATGGTACCAACAAATATGTTGTTAATGTGAATGTGCGGCGGCAAGCCGACTGGCGATCTCTCACGTAAAACAGCTCTAGAGAAGTAGCCTTTCACGACGCACTCGGGAAGTCCACTTGCTTGTCGCTCGTTGTTTTATAACAGTTTACTTTGTTTTGCTCTCACTGACGCAGACGCTCCGCGTCTGGAGAAATTCTTGGATGGAAACCTATACTAGGGCTGTGATGAGAAGTTTTTAATTTATTTATTTATTTATTTATTCATAAGCAAGCCGTAATCAATAATAATAGATATTATTTCAGGCTCTTGTCAAGCTTATTCATAGTTAATATTAAAAGGATAGTAATTTTATAATAATCATAGTAGCTGCACGAATTTCGCTTCTGAAAAAAAAGAGCTGAAAAAAGCATTAGAACATTAAATACAATGTTCATCATCAAGTTCATTATATTAAAGTCTATTTGACCACCAGTCAAGCTCAACATTCTTGCACAAGGTTGAAAGTTATACTCATTTAAAACCGTAAAAATGTTAAATTAATAAAATAGCAATAAAAAAAATTAAAAACTAGCTGTAAGTGGAATTCTGTCTTAAGGCAATTAGGGCATCGCGCCTTAAGGCAAATTGCTGGAACTTCCCGTACCAAAAATTATTATTTTTAAACGATTAACATTTTTGAAAAAATTTTACTTCAAAAAAATAGATTTTTGAGAAACTATAAATTTGACAAAAAATTACTTTTTTTTGAAAAAAAAATTATTTTCTTCATTTTGACATAGTTTGGAAATTCTGAACTTTTTTCCAAAGCAGTCGCACTGGTTGAACTGCATAGAGACGAAATGTCGAAGCTCGCAAGTGCCGCGTCGCCGTCTAACGCATAAGCATTGGTACGGAACCCATAGAAATGTAAAAAAAATTATACTTATTGTTAAAATCTCTATAAAATATCTGATAATTTGATGTGCATATGTCTAATGATCATTTTTAACCGCCGAATGGCATTTTTTTTTACTTTTTTCATTAGATCTCCGAAACCGCTAGACCTGCCTTCATAAAAATTTGATCAATTCTACATCTTGTCAATACAAGTAAAATGTTTTTTGAATTATTCAAATCGGACGCTCCGTTCTCTTAAAAACAAAGGTACCGTTTTTGGCACTTTTTGCCCCGTATCTTCGGAACGGCTAGACCTGCCTTCGCCAAAAACTAATCAGCACGCCTCCTTATCAATACGAATCGAATGCTTTTTGAATTATTCAAATCTGTTGATCCGTGTTCCCGAAATCGTCGACGAAAATTTGTATCCGCACATACATACACACACATACATACATACATACATACACACACACATACACACACACACACGCACACACATACATCCATTTTTTCTAAGGTATGCCAAAATGTTCAGAAACCTCTGAAACGTAAAGATATATAAAAATTTTCATTTTCGATTTTTTTGCGATTACTATAACTTACCCTACGGGAAGTTAAAAAAATATGGTTGTACAGGGGATCAAATGGTCAGACTACATAGATAAAGGATAAGGATTATGCAAGAAAATAGTTATTGAAATCAAATTGAGAAAATTCAGTAATGTCATATAAAGCTAATTCTTTAAAAAGTTTAACTAGGGAAGCATGAAATTTTTTGCTGTCTAAGTTTCGGATGTTGAGTGGAAGTTTATTCATAAGCTGAATACTTAGACCGTCGATCGTATTGAAAGAGCTGCTAATTTATATGTGCGCGCCTTAATATAAAGAACTATAATACACGATGTTTCATTTTTTTTTTTTTTTTTTTTTTTTTTTTTTAATTACAATCTGTCACACATTAGGACATTGAGTAATTATATTGACTTATTCTCATTATATGAATCTTGAATGAACGGCAACCTAGTAGTTGTCCAGTCCAGTTATGACTAATTATTATACTCGAAGTATGTACTGACATATTATATGTGCAATTATACCCACGGGAGGCGATTTTCACTTGAGGTTATATTTGAAATCTATGACCTCAAGTGGAAATTTGACATCAAAGTTGCCTGATGTCAGGCTTGGCGGTAGCGGGAATCGATCCGGCGAACCTGGAACTAGTTGTTGCTAGACCACGCTCTAACCGATATCGCCACCGCCGGCCCTAAGTGAACAAAATAATAAAAAAAAAGCTGCTGCAAGGTTTGCTGATACCAAACACCGCTTTGTGAGTACTTAATATAAAAAAGGGCCAGGTTGGCCATTATAATTCTAATATGATACATCTTTTAAACACAGAACTTTGTGCATATATGCTTATGCTCAGCCCTTAACATATTCATATGAAGAGAACTGTAAGCCTAACATTGCGCAATGTTCAAAGAGTATCGCGGTTCTTTGTGCACGGCGCTTATATAAAGTTTTCCGTTTTATTGCCAAACTCATAAAAGGTCTACTATATAGTCTCAGTAATGCAATGGTGATAATAACAACACAAAAGCCTTAGCGC